TAGGCAAGACCATTGAGCCCCAGAAGTGGGAGGGGCTGGCGATAGAGGTATCCTAGTAGTCTGCTGTTTTAGTTGACAACATCTTACATTTCGCTGTTTGAGTAATGCTGAGCCTCTGGCAGGTTAGAGGGCTCGAAGGGTGAGTGTGTGTTGGGGGGATCTCCCTTACCTCTAGTCCTTCACGAAATGTAAGCTACCCCCTTCTAATTTTGCGATTCTGTCTCCTAAAAGCCAAGTTTTTTCGAATCTTTTCCGACTGAACTCCCTTTTGTCTGATTGTATTTTCTTCTGCTGTTCTTTTTGCTCTCTGGACCAGTGGGCTCTTATTTCCGTTTGTATTATTATTTTTATTTCTGTCCCTCTCTCTTCTATGTTTGGTAATTGACCTTCTATGGTACCTTTACACCTTGCCTTCCAAATTACCCACAGCGCTGCTCTCCTCCATAAATCAGCCACGACAGTTTTTTCTTCATCTATGTCCACATTTTCTAGTCTAGCCGCTAGGAGGTACAGCGGGCTGCTGGGAAAGTTGTGTCCCGTTAGTTTACCCCAGAGACTCCTAGTTCTACTCCACACTTCTTGTGCTTGGTGGCAGGATATTAAACAATGGACAAGAGATTCCTCGACGCTGTCATTGCACACCTTGCACAGTGAACTTTGCTGTTGGGAGTCCTCGTGTTTCCTCCTTTTGGCCAGCCATTGGTTGACTGGCACTGCCCAGTAGAGTACAAGCCACTGCAGACTTCTGATTCTTACTGGTCTTATGTTTGTGTACTGGCTCCATGGGATTTTATTAGCCCATCCTGCGCTTTCAGTGAGGTTCTTTTTCCATCTTTCTGAGATTACTGGCTGAGGATCCTTTGTACGATTGCCTAGTTTGTAGCCTGTTTTAACTTCATATTCATATATTGGAATGAGCTTTTTGGCTCCCACCGAGTTACTAGGCACCATCCGACCCCATTCCGACGGGTCCACCTCTAGGTCCTTAATGTCCAGATCTGGCCTGAATAGCCTAACTCTGTTTGGATCTGGTTGGATGGATGGGTTCTGTTTATGGCCGATCTTGGGTGTGCATGATCGTACTCTTTTGAGAGTATTGAGATTTTGTATTGACCCTGGCTCTATTATCCTAACTGGTTTTACCCAAGATTTGTGCACTTCCTCCAACTCATAAACGGCGAACTCGGCCTTACCTTCTTCTGTGTCGAACACCTGGATCAGCTTGTAGGCAACGGTTGGGTGGTCTGGCTCTCTTCTTGTGGCCCAGTCCCCCACTGACCACTTGGATTTGCTCTTCAGATGGAGTACCCATTTCAGAGGGACACTTTCTAGCAGTTTGTCTAGCTGTTCTTTTAGATTGTGAACCCCTTTGAGTTTGGATCTGAGGTCTTGCGCGGTGGCCCATCTGTTTTCCTCCGAGATCCATGTATGTTCTATTTTCCACACCCCCCTGCTCATCCATTTTCTCCAATGCCTGCCTTTCGCGTTTAAGGACTATGTTTTGCCGTTATGGTCCCTCATCAGGGGGTTCCCGAATAGCGGCTGCCTCAGAACTTCCTCTCTTATACTTGGAGTTCTTATCTTTTGCGGGAAACAATTTCTCCAGTGCTTTATTAGTGTGGCCCAGTGCTCACTCGGCAGGTCTTTATCCCTCGTCGTTCTCCCCCTTTCCATCCTTCTTGGGTTCCATGAGGGATTGAGGATCCAATGGTATCCTTCTATGAAGGGATCAACTCTGAAAGGTACCAGGTTGCGAACCTGATGGAGAGTCATTTCATGCCATGGTAATTCCCTGTTAAAAAGGAGTTTTGTTATCCACTCGTGTTGTAATGCTTGAAATTGTACCTCCGGGTTCAAAAGACCTAATCCCCCTTGAAGTTTGGGTCTGGTGATGTACTTCCAGGCCACTTTGGAGATGTAATTATCTTTTTCCGCTTTCCTTGTGTAGAGGTAAGATCCTAGTTTTATTTTGAGGGTTGCGAAAAAGATTGTTGGCGGGTTACAGAGAGACGCCACATACCATCCCGTTGACAGGATTGTAGTATTAAGTACTAGCACTCTACCCATAAGAGATACATCCGTTGCTTGCCATCCAGCGAGTCTGTTTGTCATTTTGAGGAGAAGACTAGTCCCTGATATATTACTGGTCCCTTCAGTTGAAATTTGGATGCCAAGAAAACGCATCGGCTGATGAGTGTCCAGCCATTGCAGTCCCTGGGTGGTTTGGGTTTGTTGGGGAGGATGTGAGGAGGCTACCCACCATCCAACTGTTTTGTTCTAGTTAATTTTCATTTCCGCTGCAAGTTGGAAGGCTTGCATTGCTTTTGTGAGGGCTTGGAATGAGGAGTCAGAAGCTCTGATCAGTATGGTTAGATCATCCGCGAAGAGTATAGCTGTGGGTATGGGAAAAAAACTTCCATCTTGTTGAATAACTAGCCTTTCTATTGATGGGTCCTTGCGAAGGAAGGTTGCGATTGCTTCCATCATGAACAAGAAAATTGGTGCTGTGAGTGGATCTCCCTGTCTGACGGATCTGGTCATTCTGTATTTTTTTGAAAGGTGTCCATTCACTTGTACCATCCCCCTGGCATCCCCTTATAATACTTTCACCCATCTTTTGAAGTTTGGTCCTACTCCCATTTTTTCCATACTCTGCTGAAGGAAGTCCCAGTTTACCTGATCGTAAGTTTTTTCGAAGTCGAAAAATAATATGGCTACTTGTATTTTTTTATCCCTTATGAATTTGGTGGTCTCGTTCAGGGTTACTACATTGTCCAGAATATATCTTCCTGGAATGAAACCCGTTTGGTTTTCTGTGAAAACATTTTTCTGTGATATTCCTTATTCTGTTAGCTAGGGTTTTAGCTAGTATTTTGTATATTACCGGTAAGAGAGTTATGGGTCTGTAGTTTCTTATGTCTGCACGATCACCCTTTTTGTATAGCAGAGTGACTACGCCTGTGCTGCAGTCCTCTCCTATAGAGCCTTTAGCGAAGGCCTCTTTGAAAGAAATCAGTAATGGTTTCCCCTACTTGGTGCCCGTTGGCTTGCCAGAACTCTTTTGGGAGCCCATCCCTGCCTGGGGTTTTGTTAGGCTGCATACTCTTGAGGGCTTCAAATAACTCTGCCTTAGTAATATCTTTTTCTAGGGCTTCAATTGTTTCCTGATTGAGACTTTTGTCCAAGTATTTTAAGAATTTATCCCTTGGTTTTCGCACATTGCCAGGATTTTCAAGGAAGGATTTAGACACGTATAGGTTCTGATAGAAATCAAACGCTACTTTCAGAAGACCTTGTGAGGTTTGCGTGTTGCCTAGGGAATCCCTTAAGGCATGTATTTTGTTGTTCCTATGACCGGCTTTAATCTTTTGGAAGAAGTATTTTGTCATGTTCTCGTTGCATTCCCAATCCTTTTGTTCATACAAACTTACTCCTGGATTAGCTATTAGATTAAATTTTGCAATTTCCACCATGGCCTCCATGCTTTGTTGTCTTGCCTTCCTTCTGCTGGCCTCCTTTCTTGAGAGAAGACTCGCCCAGTGACTTATTTCCTGGATGAGGAGTGAGGTGTTCAGCTTGAAAGAACTTTTCCCGGGAGAATTGTCTAGGGATAGAGCTAGATTTATACCAATAGGGCTATGGTCATATCCATCGTAATGGGGAATTCTTCCTATTGTATTGTCTAAGACCGCCCCTTCCAAAGATTCTGATACAAGGAAGAAGTCTATCCTCGAGAAAGAAGTTCTGCCCTGAATTGTTTTCCTGATGCAGGTATAGTCTTTTATCTCTGGATTAAGGTTCCTTAAGATTGTTTTCCACAGCTAAGTGGGCTAGCGCCACCTCTGCAGGGTCCTGCGAGGTTTGTTCTGCCCATGAGATCCTGTCCAGCTGAGAGTTCTGGGTAGTGTTCCAGTCTCCCACTAGAATCGTGTGTTTCTGTGGGTGGGTTAACCTTCCTATCTCTTCAAAAAATATTGTTCTCTCTGCCGAGGAATTTGGGGCGTATAGATTTACTAATGTAATGTTTTCTCCCTTGAACGTTAACTCTAATTTGGTCCATCTACCACCTATTGAATCCGTTGTCGACGATTCTAATTGCAGATGTTGTGTGACTATCGCGTGGTTGTGTATTAATGTGATGACGCCTGCTGAGGCTGATTGTGGGCTGTGTCCCGATACTACTGCGGCGCAGTTTTTTAACCTCCCAATGATTTCCCTTTCTACTGTTCTGTGTGTAGGTAGGTATGTTAGTAAGATGTGTTTCCTGAAGGCAAACCAAGTCCGGGGGATTAGGGCTGTTCCAACCCGTTGTGTTCAGCAGGCAACTCCACTTTTGCGGGTTTGTCAGAATAGTTGCTAACCCCCTCACATTCCAGGATTGGATCACCAGGTCCCCCCTTGGTGCCTTCATGGCTTATCGGGAGTGATCTTCCTTTGAATTTTGTGCTATCCTTTTGTATCTCTGAGCTACTCCAAGACTCCTCCTCCAGTGGGGTAAGGAGGGATGGTAGCCTGTTCTCATCCTGCTCCAGCGCTCTTGAATCTACTAATGTTGCTAGAGCCATTGCATTCTGAGCCATGGTTGTTTCGCCTCCTAGGGCTGTTACCGGTGTCATCCACCACCATGGCTTCCACTGCAGATCTTCGGAGAGTTTCGTCCCTTGGTCCAAACAGACTATCAACGGTCTTGCGTCGTGCTGTGCTTGGCCTTTTCCCTTAGATCCTCCAACTGTTTCCAATTGCTCCGTCTACCCCTCCTTTTGCAGTTTGTCAGCCAGCCCCATGAAGTTCGTTTTTTTCCCCTTGCGGATCTTTTTCAGCACGTCCCCCCTCTTTTGTCCCAATTGCCATCTGATTACTGAGAGGTCTTCGTGCACTGCTACATTCCATTCCTCTGTTACCGGGTTCCTTTGAACGGGAATTACTGCTCGCGATGGCAATAGGGTACTTTCTTCCTTTTCGACCCTCTTCCAAAACTCTTCGTGTGCCTTGTGGTGCAGGTCCTGAACTGTTACTGTGCGGAGGGACATTTCCCGGTTCAGGTCAGCGAGTCGGCCATTTTGAGCATACAGGGCCTCGACCTGAATGCCCAGTTGTGTGGCTGTTGTCATTCCCTTACTCTGCTCCTCTTGCCCCTGTTGTTTCCCTTGATCCATCAAAAACTGCGAAGGTCTGTAATTTGGCAACTTTTTTCCCTTGTTTTGATTCTTCTCCTTCAGCATGCCAAACAATCTTGTTATCATCAGTTTTTATTTTTTTCAATGTTTGTCTTTTCATCTACTGTTGTTGCTTTTGCTGACTTGCGTTGTCTATCTCTCTGTTTGCCTCGCCTTTCGCCTATAGCTTATGTCTATGTCTTCCGTGGGTGCGACTTGTATCTTTGTTCATTGTCTTTGCCTTTTCCTATGTGTGTTTTTGTGCCCGCCCACCTCCCCCGTGCCCTCCAGCCTATGTGTTTTGTTGTTGCTTGTCATTTATGTGTCCTGTACGTCTCCTCCTCAGTGTGCATTACCTCTTGTTTGCTCGTCTTTGCCCCCTCGCCATGTTCTAGTCTGGTTGGCTTCAGCAGTAGGGCATTCAGCTTCTTGTTGTTTGTTTGTTTTGGCCATGCCATATGAAGTGGACGATTTATTTTTTGGTATGTTGCTTGATGTGCTTTTCTGCGCAGCTCGCCACGTCTGTTTACGTGGCGGTTTAGTAACAATACTACACACACACACACACACACACACACACACACACACACACGGGGCCACACACACACATACACAGAACCCCCCCCCCCCCCGAGCACACACACACACACACAATCAGTTTGTATGACTGTCTGTTTTCCTCTAGTTGTCTGTCCTCCCTCCAATTTTTTCCAAGTATTTTTTCTTACCCAACTGAGCACCCTTAATTAGTGCCAACGGTCGGTGGTTCCACGTTCGGAGCGCCTACTGCACTCTTAGGGGGGCCGCTCAGTTCGGGATGTCTGTGTTGCTTGTGGGTGATGACGGATGCTCGTCGGAGTGTCTCCCTGGCTCAGTGGGTGGTGGGAACCAGCAGTCTGCAGGGTTCAATCGTGTTGTGAGTAGGTCATGCACTGCTTTGCTCCGTGTTGGATGTGTGGACTTCCTCGTCTGCGCTCCACCGCCGCCTTGCTGCCTCTCCCGCTTGCTTTGCATGTGGTTCTCTGCAAGTTGTTGTGTTCACTGTGTGGTGTGGCCATGTTGTCGGTGTTGCCTTGCGCTTCGCTGCTCCGCTGCCTTGCTGCCCATCCATTGGTTGTGCCTTCTGTGGTTGCTGCTTGCGTGCCTAGTGGGTTGGCTGCCTTGTTGCTGGTGCCTTGTGCTCCGCTTCACAGTTGCTGAGCTGATGGTGCCTTCCGCGGTTGCTGCTTGCATGCCTAGTAGGTTGGCTGCCGTGTTGCTGGTGCCTTGTGCTCCGCTCCACAGTTGCTGAGCTGCTGGTCCGCTCGCCCTGTTGTCCCTTGCAGTGTGGTTGCCTTGCTTGTGTTGTCTTGTGCTCCACTACACGGTTGCCACACTGCATGTCTGAGTGCCATGTCGTTCCTTGCAGTCGTTTTTGGCGTTGTGCAGCTGGGTTGCCTCTACTGTGTTGCCTGGTGCTCCACAGGGTTGATGCCTGCTGCTATGTTCCGCTTGGGGACAGTCTGCCTTCACCACGGGTCAAAGGGTTCATGATCCAAACCATCAAATACTGAGATCCTGCACATTGTCGAGGGTTCAGCCTCCTGATGAGTCGGTGCAACTCCGACGAAACAGTCTGTCATCATCAATTTTTATTTTTTTTCACTTTTTGGTTTTTCAACATAGTACTTGTACTATGTGCCTTTTCCCTTGCTTTTTTGTGTTGTTTGTCTGCCCACCCGCCTCCCCCATTTCCTCCACCCTATGTGCCGTGCAACTGCTTGTTGTCCAATGCCTTGTTGTCCCACCATTGTTCGCCCTACTGTGTTTTGCCTTGGTGGCCATCGCATGACGTTCCATGGGCATCTCTGATTGGCAAAAGAGAACGTCTCGGCTAGAAGGAGTAAAGTGCATTGGTGATCAAGTCGGTTTTGTCTACAGATTTGATAGTCCAGAATATCAGATTTTGTCTTGGTTTAGTGAAACGTACTAGTGCCATTCCCAACTATCTGGGTTGTTCCAACTTGCATATTGCACACACACACACACACACACACACACACACACAAGTACACACCATAGTTGCGGCGCACTGGTACAGTGCGCAGTGCAGCGCGGGGCGCTGTGCACCATGCGCGAGAGAGGTGCACGTGCACGTGTGCGGAAAAAAAAAAAAAAAAAAAACAG